GTAGTACCTACCTATACAGTTGTTAAATCTTAAATAATCAACATAACCTATATTATTCAACTTATTATGCTCTTAATACATATTATATATAGGTAGGTAATCTTTTTGATCGACAAAGTTGAAAATGATATATTTTATTATTTATATTTCGCACATCAAGACTATAGATGCGTTTGTTGAACAATTAGGTACCTAGCTCTAAACATTATCAATTTATCATGATATAAAACAAAACAGATATATGTTAGGTATCTAAACAATACGATGAAAGTGTTAATACACTCGCAGAGTATTTTAGAATGTTTAATGGGGTGTCAATATTCAAAACATGAGATGTTACGATGCCAATATACACGTATCTACAGACACGTCCGCCCGATTTCATCGACGTTATCAATTAAATTTAATTAAATCAATTTATGTTTAAAGTCTAATATTCTGACCATTTCGGTATGATTCAAACCACCGCTGTAGTCTGTCAGATGGACCGGACGCGACTACCACACTAACCCTTCAGCAGTGAAAAAAACCACGCGATTTCGATATACGTGATACACGCCACTGCGGTCGTTTGTCCGAAATAATATCCCTTGGGTACTCGAAAGGAAATTAAAAAAAACCCTTAATTATAAACAGCTTGGTCCTTTCTGAAAACTCACGGAAAACGGATGCACGTAAACGATTGAAAATCACTTTCTCGTTTTAACATAAGCCGAGGGTTGTGGCTCATGTGTGGTTTTTTTTCAAGCTTTCGTTTGAAATGATACGCAACTTGCAATTTTAAAATGAAATTTTCAAAACTTAATTTAAATAGAGAAAAAAAACATTCACCTCGGACATCGTATAACACGAAATAATATTAAACACAAAAACGAGATACAAGCACATATATTATTGACAGAACTTGATCAAGAAATCTACTCCTCAACTTCGACAATTCCAAGCAGAAAAGGAATAGGCTTATCACTATAATATATAATACAAGGTAGATTCCAAAAGAAAATAAAGTTTAATATCTCTATTGATCTGCATAAAAAATACATTGAATAAATCTAATCGATTGACATTACTTTGTTTTAGGTTAACCTTGAATAAATAAATCCAAGCAATTTTATAATAATTATAGTCTCTACCTTTCAATGAATACCTTTAAAAATTTAAACATTCTAAGAATCAGATTTTGAATAAATATGATATTGAACCCAAAGATCATAGTATAACTAATGAATCCCACCTTGTACAATAAAATCGTTTCATACACTTTTAAAGTCTTAACGGTTCTTCGGATTCTTCTACTTTCACGGATTTATGTGCGTATAATATTAGTAATTATAGTTTATACTTCGTTATAGCAATGTAATTAAAATACCTACAGATATACACAACAACGCAGATACCGTCTGTGGCACAGTGAGTAGGCATCTTAGGTAGCGTAAAACTCTAGACGGTGATATGAACAAAGTTCTACCGGCTTATATTTTGATCTCGCTCGAGGAATCGACCGCCAGTTGTCTGATATTTATTGCGTCGTAGCCATTTTGCGACGTGTTACAATAACAATGTACGAGAACACACATATACATACACACTGTCGCATAAATACGTACTCACAAGTGCGATTTAATCCATTCACGTAGCAACGTGAAAATGGGTTTGCCCGTCCCTGAGTTGTTTACACGCTGTATACAAGGGATTGACCCTGTGGATGAATTAAAAGTCGATTTCCCGAGTAATTCTCCCAAATTTAGATTCTCCTACACACATACTATGTAGGCATATAAATACCTCATACATGCTTACACTTTTAAATAACCATTTAAGATGCCAATATTCTACTTTTTTCAAAACAATTTTAATATTAAAAAAAAATTCGTTTATCATAATTTCAATTGAATTCTAATTCTAATTCTAATTCAAAAGTTCAACAAACATACTTATGAAATATTTTAAACATAATATTAAACCACTGTGTATTAAAAATATGCGAACACGCTCAATATCGTAATTATATAGGTTAGGTACCTATCTCATTTATTTTTCTTTAAAATGTTAACAAAACATGTATCGAATTTTTTAAATCGCTCTCCCGAAAAAAATTTTTTTTTATTGTTGTAGTCTTGGACGGTCGTAATTACAACATAGTTGTCATGGCATTGTTAGAAAAAATGTAACGGAGAGCGGGCGCTGCAATGCGTTTAATTACCCAGTTATAGTATTATACATATTTATATATATATACATATATGTTATATATATATATATTACACGAGTACACGACCATCAAATGTCCGTTAAAAAAAAATTTTTTTTACGATCCAATTTGCTGTATAGTAATAATATAATCAACAATAAAAAAAGAAGACATTCCAAGCGAAAAAAATGTATCTAGTCACACATTTGGTAAGCGGTTTCTTTCAGCCAGGGGTTGAAGTGGTGACCGTGTCTAGTGGTTTTAATCATTCGGACGTATAATAATATTATACTATTTAATTATTTATAAAAACGCCTTCGGCGGCGGTCGTAGTCGTTTTACGGTTTCCAAACCGATTGTCGCGATTTTTCGATACCACTTAAATGGATTAAAAACGCGAGAGAGCTGGTATACATATGGTTTAGGAAGGTGGTTTTTATTGTCATTAGGTCGTAAAAGTCCACGAGCCATCGTAAACCCGTGACGACGAAGGATGGCTATTATATTATATATCTGTATTATCTATATACATAGGTACATACATACATAGTATGGAACCTATAAACAGATCCAAAGATAGATGGAGAGGGGTATGGGGGAGGATGAGTCGGTTCCAGTGCTCGTCATTCCTCATAACACGGTAAGGGTCGAATTTATAACTATTACTTATATCTCCTCTTTCTATACAGGATCCGGATAAAGAAAGTACCGTATAAGGTACTTAGAATTTATAATAAATAGTACGGGGTCGTAAATTATGTAAAGTTCAAAAGTAAAAATAGACTTATTTGATCGCTACAGTACATTTTGTCAACGCGAATCGTATATGTACCTGCTATAAAGTGCCATCATATTATACAGCATATTATATTACAGTTTAAATCGTGATAGAACCAGAAATGATTCTGGTGGAAAACAATCAGATTATCAAATGGACTTGAATACGCGTCAGACCACTCGGTCACCTCATCCCCCGAATATAATATTATGTTATATTATAATCGGTATATTATGTTAAATACTCAAATATATATCAATCATTAGTATAATCAATAAATAATTAAATGTTTGTTATTATTTATTACAAAATATGAAACAGACAACATTTATTACATGTCTATAGTCAGAAATAGAATAATGTAACTTCTCTATGCAAGAGTGTGCAACTCTATAGCAATATTAAACAGGAATAATATTCTTTAAGATCAATAATATTTTTTTAGCTACGATAACTTACCAATACTACCATCCAAATTCCAGATAACACAACCCAAAATCCAATTTACCAAAATTTGGTTATAAACCACACAATTATCAAAATAATTGTAAATATATAAACAATGTAACAAGTATGATTCAATTAATTATTGACAGTTAAAATAATGGACGAGTAGGTATCCATCATTTTGTTTTTGTTTTCACAGCATTAATACAATGTGAGTATTGATTAAGTAGATACCTACCAAGTTTAAAAGTATGTAGAACTGAAACGGATAAGTATCTTTAATAGTATTCATACGTATTATTTTGAAGAAACATACGCTCCTAAGTATTAATATATATAAATATATATAATAATATGTATATGTTCAACCATAAACACGTTAGCATAATTTATAATGTTGAACTTATTTGATAAAATTCATTTTCAAAGTTTGAAACTTTTTGCAACCTTCAGGGAATATATTTAAGAAATAAGGTTTAAATGTACTACTTAGGAATATCTAAGCACGCTTACACTCTGTTGTGAATTCTGATAGATTTAAGAGACATCATCCATCAAAGGAAAATACATTTTTATTTCAAAATAAACTTAATCATAAGTTAAATAATAAATGTCAATATTACTCATGTAAATCAAAATGTTACGTCTATCAATTGAAATATAACCAGGCAATTAATTATTCAAAAAAACTCAACACAATCACAATTCTAGGGCACTTAAAAATTAACTGAGAGTAGATGTTTTTTTCTTATTTATATTTGGTTTTTTATTTTATAGTTTATGAATACAGATTAATGACAACTACAAAAAATTGGGTAAAAAACGAATATTCCACTCGTAACTTAAATAATAAAATATTTTGAATTTATTCATATTTTAAAAGGTCATTAGTAATAATTTCATTTTTATGACTACTAGTCCAATGTTAACTTAATTTCATTGAATTATGTATGATAAAAAGTTAATTATTTAAGAATGAAAAAAGTAGTAAATTATATTGAAATAATAAAATAGTAATTTCATGTGAATTTGTAGTTATACGAAGTATTCAAAGAACAAATTAGTTATAAAAAGATAATAATTCAAAATATTTTTATCGATGAGTTATTTATTATTAGAAATGTATATTAAACATTTTGTATAATTTTAATTACACAGTTCGGAATTGTTTGTATAAGCAAATTGTTTGTAGCTATCGTATTAAATATTTATCCCCACATTTTTTTTCACGATGTAATATTACTATTCGGGGTAAATTATATTTAGCTTTAAAGTTCTCGTTGACCTAAATATAGAGTAAACTCTTTTAAAATATGTTGATTATATTTATTATAACCCAGGAATGTATTATATAGCAGTAAAGTGTCTTTTGCAGCTTCATAAAAAAAAAAAACAAAAAATATATATTAAGTATAAAATTCTTAATTAGCTGGTTATGTATACATCGGACTTAATATAGTATATATTTTTTTACGGCTAAGTGCGTTCTATTTATAACCTACATTTGAACGAAATCCATCGTGCTCGTTTGAGGAAAAACTACATATACATACATATTAAATGCTACTTGTTGAAAAATCTTACCTGTTTGAGTGCTGGAATCGAACAAAGTGCTGCTTGTCTCGACGGCCATGGTGGCCAGAGTTCCATCTATGATTTGCGTACTTGAATCTCTCCGGCCTCTTGTACGGTAGCATTCATCTGACTGAGACGATAGTCGTCGGAAATTCCTACACCGTATCATTTCTTCGGTAGTGGACTGCACAAAAAAAAAAGAACGATAGTGATGCAACTTCATTAATTTTAGTTTTTATTTAACACGTTGACCGCCATGAGCTCTTATATCATGATATCTCATCAAAATTTACCCTGACCGCCAAAGCCTTTATCCATAAATACAGTTTTGCCAATTTAAGGAAATATTAATTGTTTAAAAAATACTAATAACGATATTTGCAAGCTTGTATAACTACTGAAAGTGGTAACACTGTCCATTTTTAATCCGACAAGAAAATACTGATTATTGCATAGTCATATTAACTATAGACATATTAACTTAGTTATATATTACACAACTTAACTTAGTTAATATGTCTATGGATTATTGAGACCTAGAACGAGATCTCGCTCTAATTGTTGTCAGTGAGATTTTATAAGAGATTTCATAATCCGTGTTTAGAGTAATTTTGTTGAGATTTAAAATTATATCTCGTGGCCATTATTGTAAGCAACATAGGCAGTGAAAAAATAATATTTGGTAGTCAATGTATTTTGAATATTAAAACTTTTATTGGTTCGTTCTGACTCAAAACGCGATGGTTATAAATTGATGGTAATAAAACGGTCCAAGTAGCCTGGTGAGAGATAGTGTATGGTCTTTGTCACTAACGTGTTCTGAAGCATTAGCCGACGTCACTAGTTCCCCGATGGGTGACCATTCGGGTTTTTAGAGACAAATTCTCGCCACATTTACACGTTTTCTAATCAACGATATAATCCCGCAGGGTAATAAACTCTTTAAATAACCCAGGCTAATGACCTCAGATGTTAAATCCTTAGCTCAATAAAAAAAAGGCTTTTCAAGGATGTTTTTGTATTGCCCAGTCGGAAAAAATCAAAACTTAAAAATACAATAGACTTTTTTTTTTGCTACGAAAGTATAAACCAGGTCATGAGTCATAATACCAACATTCTAGGTTTTTATAAACAGTGGTAATTATAATTTATAATTAATTAAGTGATCTGAGTAAAAAATGAAAGATCCATCATGTGCTTGATAATTGGTTGTATGTGGTTTGGAAGTATGCAGTTTGTCAAGTCTCTGAAAACGTTCATATTCAGGTAAACGTTGTTTGGGAATTGAATAATAAAAATATTATTGGCAGTGGATTTTATAAACGTAATAAGCATAATATTACTTATTTATTTGTTTCAATTATTTGAATAAATAAAACATAACACGAACTCTTTAATGAAAATATTCTAATTCGAATATTCATAAGCTAATGAAACAATTAAAAACCTACAAAATGTATTATTCATAAGAAAAATGAAGAAAAAATTACAATGCTATCTTGCAGAAAACTCTGTTTGCACTTCAATGATCCAATCAGGCAACATTTACTGAAAATAATCGAATACGATAATGTACAACTAAGAACAATATTCACAATATACGTGAATTGCCATATTGAATAAAGTATAAAAAACAATGTTGCAAATAAAAAATAAATTGAATCATAATAACTATCGGTATAGGTACAGCTGATGGCCCAGAACAGACTGATCGATAAGCAGTTATTTAATAACAAATTTGTGGTGGAGATGAGAAAAAAATCAAACACGCCAGATGGTAAACAGTTTGGTGTAAAATCATAGTTTAGGATATTACAATGGACTGATTTGAAATGTTATTAGTGGATCCAAAACGATGTGCAATAAGTAACAAGTGTTGGTATTTTGAGGACGAGAATTTTTGCTCTTTTATAAAATATTCATTAATCATTAACGGCGTCTAATGATATAATTTTTTATGACAAACTGTTATCAAACATTTTTTAACAAAAAATTTATAACAGGACACAATAGTTGTGTAATTATTACACAAAATTTGAAATATACTAATGAAAAATGTACAAAAGTATGCACAAACCGCACACGTTTTCAGCATTTTATAGCTTTATTGCTTGTCTTTGATTTATACAATTTAATCTAGCCACCATCAGGTGCTTTAATATCTCTGTTATTTACTATTGCAACAGGAGGAGAAAAAATATTATAGTATAGGAAGAGGTATTCGGGAATTGTCCTTATTTCTTCTCTCCTCGTAATTGTCATATCAGCCCATTATAATAATCTAAGTCCGCGAACATAACCGACAACAGTACAAGAGCATATTATGTGTTATTAGGGTGGCGTAAGTCGACAACAGCCGAAAACACGCACTTGTCTCCGGAAGCCCCTGGCAATCAATATCTCTTCGGTTGTGGACTGTCTGCGGATGATCGGCGTCCGCTGAGAAGTCGCGGGTGCTACGGCCCTGCCAGCCGGGGAGGGTTCACGGGACGAGCATGACGACGATGAATCTGGTGACCTGGAAGACTGGCAGCTGCGTACGTTGTAACCACCCATCGTAGTGCTCTGGCGTCTGTAGTTTCTACGGCGTCTCTGTCTGCCAGGTGATACATCCCTGCCCTGTCTGTCCGGCGATAGACCGCCCTGTAAACACAAGAAAAACGGTTGCTGTCGTTAATTTTATATTCATAGATACAATATAATATAATATTATAATACAAAACATTATGTAATACACAAGTATATGATCGTCTAGCATCATAGCTCCGATTTGATCCGATAAATTAACTTTTAACTTTTGAGAGTAATAATTGAGACGTTTGAAATACAAGTTACGAGTATTTCATGTTAGGTTACACAAAAATACTATTAGAGGCGACATAGAGTTGGGGCAAAGCCGAGAATCAAGCGTAACTCATGTATCCTAATTAATTGTGAGCCGTGAACGTCCCAAGTTATAATGGTGCAGAGGAAAATCGGGGTAAATTTTTTTTTAATGAAAATGAAGCAATAGGTATCTAATGGTCAAACAGAATCAACCAATTATTATTCGTCGGTTATATTCGAAAAAAAAGTTCGAGTTTGTTGTGAAAAGCCGTAAAAATAAACCGAAAGGCACAAGTTACTCAAATGGTCACATTTCGTTCGATGTCATTCTGTAGGTCATTTATGTGTCTCAAAATGCATGGCAAGTACGACTCACACTGACTCTGGAGTCTCTGCGCCGGGCGTAGTGCGCAGAGTCGGGCGACAGCGAGTCGCGCCTGGTCTTTCGGTCCGTAAAGTCCTGGTCCGCGGACAGCGTTGGTTGCGAGCTCCGCCGGCCGCACTGCAAACTTGACGGCATGCAGGTCTCGTCGATGGCCGTCGATTGCCGCTGCAGTCTGGGTAACTTGTTCCCAACTGATATTCCGTCCTTGCTATGCCTTCGTTCGGGTGACACGTGAGATTTAGAATTTCGGCGTGCTCTCGAAGAATACACCTATTTTGGTAAAAAAAAATCGTCAGTACATTGTAGGATTATTACTAATTATAAGATCCACCCCCTCCCCTAAAAACCCACTTTCCGTGAATTATAATGTTTTTCTATAATTTAAGTAGCTAATTAAGTACCGTATTGATAAGAACTGGTTACTTGCGTCCGAAAAAAGATATTATTTAATATTTGTTACATAAAAGATTAGGTAGGTACAGCAAGATCGAGCATAAGGAAATATTATTATTAAACTTGAACGTAAAGCACTAATACTGTTTCAAAAATAATAGTAGGTAACTACATCTAATAAAAAAATGGGACAAAAATATAACTAAAAAATGTTAACACAACGTTGTTAAATGAACATCATTATTGAAATCAAGTGTGATGTATAAATACTTATGTATAACAATAGTTCAATCGGTATTTGTAAAATATAGAACATATTTGAAAGAGGCAAATGATAGTTGTACTAAATCAATACTGTACCACAGAAAATATCTATTATTGTCGTGTTTATATTTTTTGATACATTGCTACGGTATTCAATTTGTCGACAGTACACACGATTTTAATAAATTTATTTATCTTTATATTTATCCACGGTTTTGCTGGGGTAACTAGCGAATGTCATCTCGGGAGAAGTGTTGACTCACTTGAGTGGTAGAATCTCTGCGCGACACGGGCGGTGCGTGCGTCACGTTGCTGGCACCCAACGTTGGTGGGACTGCAGACACTGGCGAGCTGGGCACCGACACTGGCGGCGTGTAACCGCATGAAACGCTGTGCTGTATGGGCGCCGTGGATGTGTTGGCAGTGGCGGTAATGGAGGCGGAGTTAGCGGCATTGGAGATGGACGTGGTTCCGGACGAGACGGACGACGACGGTGCGTGTTGGTGTGTGGGCGACAGAGGAGCGCGTGGCGATGTGGGAGGGGGCGTCACGCTGCTGATGACCATCGTCGGCGGTGTCATGGTCTGGTCGTCCACCGTCCTTATGGGACCGTCACCGCCACCGTGCCCACCCGTTGACCCGTTGGAGGACGTGGACTGGCCCTGCACGACGATTGCCTGCGAGTCCCTGCGCTTGTGGCACGTGCGGTGCTGTCGGAACGCACGGCCGTCGTCCCTGGACCCGCGACGCCCACCATCGCCGTCTGAATGGCCGACGCTAAAAACGTTATGACAAGTGAGTTGGTTGAGAAATTAAAAAACTCACTTAAATCGAAATCACCACCAAAAAATCTACTGGTTTTTGTGGTCGTGAAAAATACTCAGTACTCCAAACCAACAACAGATTTGCCAAATCGTTCAAAAGGTTTTAAAAAGTCGTTAACGACATCTTAGAATGAATGGATGAGTCGATAATATGGTATGACGAAAACCTTAACTAGAAAATCACTGAAATATATATTGTTTATATAAAACCTAATATTATATGTTTGTCATTAGATCAGATGTTAAGATAAACGTTAGTATATTGAAATAACTTCAAAAAGTCAAGTTAAAATGCATTTATAGTTATTTACGCTTATTTAATTTCCGGTGTATAAAATATAATATAGTTGGGTTAAAAACAGAGTCACATCATTTACAATTGAAACATGAAGTAATTATTATTTAAATTAGCTTACTATTAAGAATTCTTTTTTTTTTCAAAAACTGGAAAGTATGTCACACAAGCAGCATTAAAACGAACAAAAGTTAATCGTAGAAAAATATTATTATGAGTGTGTAATTATGATTATCATAATATTACTATGAATTAATGAAATTTCCTAATATTAGTGACATATATAAGATTATAAGCTCATTAAAAGTTTAGGCATCTTGTTGAAATAATATTTTATGGCACCCATTTATTATATTATATTATTTTAAATAAAAAAATTCAGTGTCTGTATTTCAATTTAATGTTATTTTTTTTTCTATTATTTGTTAGTAACATAAAGTTATATCTTATTACATTTATGAATATGCTTATAATCGTTCATTCTTTGCATACTGTACATCTTCGTTTTTTTTTTTTTGTATGTTTTTCGAAAATAAAATGAGGAAGGTCATAAATATTCGAAAAAATAAAAACAAGCAGTTGTGCTCTTCATATTATGTATACTATTATTAGCAGTTTGATATCTATGAATATTGAATAAGAAAGTCGACAAATGAAAACATGAAAAGGAATACGAATCACAATAATGGAAATTAATCAATTCACTAAAGTATTTAAAAAAAAAATAGATTTTCTTATGGTATTTTTTCACTTTAACGAAATAATTAATTCCCATTCTAATTCATCAATTATTTTGGTGCATGAACTTTGACTATTGTCGGCTGAAAATTAAAGCTAACCTTAAATAAAATCATGGATATTTTATACGAGAAGAGAAAATATTGTCTGAAATTTAAATACTATTATACGAATTTTTGATCACAGAGCTTTAGGCGAAATAATTTAACATAGATGAACTTTAAATTAATTTAAAACTTAAAATAACTTGAAGACGTACGAAAAGTAAAAGTTGAAATATAAAATTGAGTTTAAATTTACTTTCATAACCAATGGTCTTTGGGGATAAGCAATTTGGATTTGTATTGATAATTGCAGAGCATCGACATTTGGATAACACGTTTAGTGCATTTAACTAACTTAAAATTATTGAATACTATGTGATATTTAAATGTATTTCACTATATTATGTACTTTTAAAATATTGGAATACGACTGCCTTAGTTGAATAAACCAAATATAATTTATTTACCAGTAGTTGAAAGCAAGGTGTGTTGCCTTTTTTTTAGTCTCGTTGAACTGTTGGATATTTAAAATAACTTTAATGTTGATGATGTTTATTTCAGAATAAAATACCCGGGTGACTTAATTGTCTTATGGAAATTTTATTTATTTTTCTTAATTAACTAAAATGAATTCCGTTTAGTTTTTAATATGATTTTCTTACTAGAAAACATATTGATGCAACAATTAAAAAGTGATGTAATTTCAATTTGTTACAAATAATTGTATATTAGAATAACAATTGTTATTGACAATGTTGATGAAATCTGAATGGTTGTTGAAGAAATTGTTAGACATATCTAACAAAGGCATAATCAGTGCAGACGAAACCCTATTTTAAAAGATTGTATAATTAAATGTAAAAGTAATTAAAATAATAAAATGTAAAAAAATGACCTACGTAGCTTTTACATTGTATAGGAAGAATAAAAAATCTACGACGGAAAAAAATTAAAATAAAAAAACTTGATATGAAATAGATATCAATATTATTCATTACAAGTAGATAATGTAAAATAATGATGAAATTAAAGAGGACTTGCAGAGTATTATTATAGTATTAAAGGAAATAAACAATAATCCGAGTTTGTGGGACAAAAGTAATAGGAAATCAGAATACTGGCAAAATAATTATTATTATCTGGTCATATTATTTTAAGAAGCTTAAAATTTATAATATTATAAACAGATTCATCGCAAAATGCAGTACGGTTATACACGCTCGAGTATTGACAGTAATATTATATTATGTTTGTGAAGACAAAGTACTTCAGTCTGGCATTGTAAACGAATAAAATTACAGAAAACACCACAATATTACGTGAGCTCAGCTATCAAGTTTTGTATTTTAACGACGGTTATCTGAATTGGATTATACCGATAAAATAACAAAATTGAAAAAGTGCTTTTCACTGGTACAGGTAATATAATATATTATATCAATAAGAACCACAATCAATATCTGTTATAATATTATATACATATAGAAAATTGGTTTTCAGTAAAATTAAATATTGTAAAATAAAAGGAGTCGATAAATTTAGTTCGTGTAACTGTATAAGGCGTAGGTGCGCATTTATAATTATGCTTTGGCAAAGTGAATTCGTAAAACTTTTTCGTTTTAATTTATTTTGTGAGTTTCTATCGGAAAAGGGCTAAAGCGTAATATGATATTGAAATTGAAAAAAAGTTTTAATTACAGTTTTCAAACGTGATATAAAAGTCAAATAAGAATTAGTTAAAAAATAATGACGTATTATAAACTTCAGATTTAAGACTTGTTATTGAGTTGAAACATTTTTTTTTCTTTCAGTGATTCAAAAAAAAAATAGTTCTTATAAAACTATGGTAGGAATGTAGAATATTGGAAATTTCTTTGTAGAATATTGAAATGCATTAAAACTTATACAGAAACTGTTTCAATGACAATACGTTGCTACGGAATTGTTATAATATTATACTTTAATACCTTGTACGAGAACTATCCAAAATAATATTACATGGATTGCAACATTACTGTTACAACGGTTTTTGATGGTTAAGATATCTAGTTAAAAATCTCTTTCCTCTAAATTTGAATGATTTGTTATTAACGTGAGAAATTAATTTTAATGTTTTTGTGGAATATTTGGTCGTGATGAGGTTAATCTTAGCCTATACAGGTTAATAGAATTAAAATTGAACATTTTAATTGTATTATATGTATGTGTGTCTAATTTCAAGTATATATTTTTTTTATGTTCGATTTCTTTCGTCTTATCAATTTCCATTCGTTGTGGTCAATCACATCAAACTGTAGGTGGCAAAAGCGCAATTGAATATAAAAATATGGATAATTGATGACCTTGTTGTAGCTAGATTGCCTATCCAGGACGCCATGTTATAAAAATAATAACATATTATTATTATTGTTTTAAAATGTATAAAACAATATCTTTGCTTAATTTCAGACAGTTCGAAATCGATCTTTTAATTGACTTAAGTGTATGTGCACTAAGTATACCTCAGTCGGTTGTTTTATTTTATAAGAAGATTACTATTATGCTTCACTGTTTCAATATTATATTCCATTGAGTCGAGTTTTAAAATAATGTACAGAGAACCGTTTTAGAACAATGAATTCTCAGGTCACTGCACTTACAATTAATATAAACCATATTTAAGTCAATTATATTTATACTTTATTTATGTATAATTCAATATATTTTTAAATGAAATCAATATTATATATAATTAATGGTTTTATTGGATTAAATGCAACGTTTAACGTCTTATGTTTAGATAGCATTAACCACCTTTTATATAAAAACATTAAAAACAACATGCGTGTATATTAAATGTCGTATACGAAAAATAAAAAACGTTATTAGTATCTAGGAATACAATATACAACCTTTCAGATATTATATACAAAATAGTATATAATATAATGTATATTATATATTGTGTGAGTTGTGTGCACGGTGACACAGGATTTTATGAGATTTGATGAAAACCATTTCACCAGAAAGCTTTGTTTTGAATTAACAATAGGCAACGCTTGTTCATCAAAATACGACTGCTATATTAATGGATCATGATAGTAAATTATTAGAGAATATTCTCAGAAATATAATGAAAACGGATCACGAGGGTACATAGAATTTAATATGTGTCTAGAAAGTTGGCAGAAAAATTGAACATTACATATTTTATAAGTTTATAACCAATAAAACGCATATATTTAATATCATTATTTAAGATGTATTTATCAAATTAATTTTAAACCAACACAGTATGTTAGTTTACTATCATGTAGTTAGGAGATCTCAACTACAATGCATATTGAGGTTTTCTAACTTTCTAGATACTTTGTAAGACAATAGTAATCAATAATGTGTGTATTTTCCCTATAGTAGCACATTTATGCATTTTAAATATTATGAGTAAAATACATTATTACTGAAACATATATAATGTATAAGTTTTTAATTGTCATCACCTTTCTCAGTTATGATATCAGCCTGCATGATTTATTTTTATGTTACAAAATACACATTCACTGTGTTTGAATATAATTATTAGTTATTTTTTTATTATTTGTACCTACTAGCTGTCCCGTCACGGCGTTTCTCGTGTTTTATATAGCTACATAAAAAACCTCCCTTTTTTCCCCTTAAAAGTTTAATTTTGAAAAAATCCTCTCAAAAAAAATAAAAAAATAATAATAATATTTACAAATGATTTTAATGATTCTAGTACACATATCGTTATTAAAAAATAATTCTATAGTTATAATTATAATTTTTATGGTTATTTTGATTGTGTACACGCCAACGGCTAATAAGTGTAATTCAGCCGACAGCTACCTTGTTAGGCAATGTGCTAAAATTCAATTTGATGCATTCTTGAACCTGATCTACCCGATCAGAGGTCGAGTTCTACTAAAAAATTAAGAAAGTTGAGCGGAAAATTAGTTATTAACTAAAATGAACATGCAAATTGTATACCTAGACACATATTGTATGGCACGGTGGCCCGCGGGTGACTTAAGTTCGTTTAAAATTTTAAGCATTATTGCTTAAACTAACCTGATGAACAAACATTTATCAAAAAAATCACTGTACACTTTGTCATTAACCTTCCAATTGATTCCTCTGTGAAATGAGCATTAAGAAAAACTGCTTTATATCATAGATAGATTCCTCGACCAGGGGAAACAGGAATTTATTTTTATATACCTAGATAGATATAGATAGATTGTAGAATTTTACTTCTCGTAACAATTCATTTTTATACATCGATCAAACACATAGTTAAACGGAAAAAAAGTTATGATTGCATGTCACTGTGGACACCCGCACATCGCCATGCTGTAAAATATATATAGATAAACAATTTGTATGTAAACAATTTATTTTTACCGATTTCAACCCTTTAAAATCGAAATTTTGAGAATCGGACGAAGTATAGTGACACTTAAGAGGGTATTCGGAACAATTCTGTGAAAAAAAATTGGAAAAAAGTTAAATAGCGTCGTCACAAAATTGGCACATGAAAAAGACCTGTTCTTTCATATATTATATAAGGATTATAACCTATACATATATATTACATATATTATATTCACCACATATTTACGACCACGTTGTTTACGTATTATGTTGTCTTCTTTCTTTTCTGACAAATCAAGTTATCAAAATGGGTTACGCACCGATAACGATTCTCAATAAATTATAGTCTATCTGACAAAAAATTTGAATTTATCAGTTTATGGATATTATTTGGTGTATGCATCCTTAGTAAATGGAATACATTTAAAACGAAAGAATACGATATAGTGGAGAGGTGTTTGAATATTATGTTGTACACTTGTACATCATGTTATATTGTTATACTTCTGGAAATATTTATGTAGACGGACTGTACTCGCAGACACACTTGAGTGGACGAGCGGAAGCCAAATAAAACCTGAATTCCTAGAATTTATTAGAAGAAAATTGATCGGAACAAGAGTAGCATGTGACCATTGTGGTTTTGACTTTTAACATTACCTATACCTATTTTCAGCTGAAATGAATTTTTCATTTTTCGGCTGAAACTTATTGTTCCCTTTTCGGCCAGTTTTCCATACAATTTTCATTTATAACAACTAAACTACCATAAACAATTTTTTTTCAAAATGTAATTAAATATAATTTTAACTGTTCAATAATGTGATTTTCAAATTTTCTACTATCAAATTATTAAGTATTACTAACAGCTATCTTCATATATCTGTGAAAAATAATAGAGCATACAGGAAGAAGCCCGTCGATTTGGAGTCTGAACCGCAGACGGCTGCTCAAGAGATAAATAATTAGTAAAAACAACCCTATACTGTAAAGTACCTACCCCTAAGTCTTAACCTATACTGACAACTGTGTCATCATATTATATATCGAAGCTATATAATTACAACGATGACGATGTACTTAGTAATAATAATATAAATAAAGGTAATTACTCTCCAGATCCTCTGCGCCTGGGCTGCTGCGAAACGCTACTGGGCGTTATGATGGAGTCGCGGCGGTTGTTGAGCAGTTTGGCGATGTCGGCCCGGAAGTCGGTCTTGGAGTCCCGGCGACCGCCCTTGCTGGACGACGACTTGACGCCCGAGTCGACGGAAGACTCCCGCCGCTTCCGGGACGACGTGATCGTGTTGGACCGACCGAACGGCAGCGTCTTGGCGATGTCGGCCAGCGTCTCGCGCCTGGTGATGCCCTTTGGCCGGCCACCCGACTTACCTCCGCCACCGCCGCCTCCGCCGACGCCTCCACCTCCACCTCCACCCGCCCCACCTCCACCTCCACCACCAACGCCACCTCCACCCATGCCGGTGCCGCTCCATTCGCGCAATATGTCGGTGAGCTGGGCAAGCGAGCTGCGCCTCCGGCGTCGGCTGACCGGCGGCGACGTCTCCGCGGTCTCCGTCGGCGGCGACTCGGTGGTGATCTGCGCGGCCGAATCTCGCCGACCGCCCAGCCGCTGTTTGATTGTCGTCTCCTCCATCTGCTCGCGCAGTATGTCGTCCCAACCGTTGCCGCCCTGCCACACCAGTCCCACCTGGTGGCTGAGAATCGGCAGGTTGCACACGAAACATATGGCCGTCATCGTCCTGGATTCACGATGAACAATATTATATGCGTGTGCGAGCACACAACAATATTATTATTATTATTGTTTATATAATGCCATTTTTTTTTTTTGTTGGTGTATATGTGTGTAGCCCACTGGTCATGGCAGCGGCTAATGGACACTGTTTGTTTATTCCGTAGCGCTGGTTTGAACATATAGGTGTGGTGGTTATTCGGTCAAGAGTTATCCTCAACTAAATGTAATGTCTAACGATTTGAAAAACTGGTATATTTACACCGATCGTTTTCAACGAATTCTATCTACAGAATATTCGATGGGCATGTTGAAGGTCAGTTATTTTTAAGTGTTGCACATTATATTTTTCAATATAAAATTATATTATAATATGGAATGGATAAATGGTTGTGTCCATTTAAATCTGATATCGAAAACGGCATGGGAAACACAATATGGTCGACAACTCTAGGACTTTGAAAGAAGTATTACATAAAATCAATAATTCAGAGGTCTTCGACCTTTATAAGTAGAGGGTAACATATTATTTAAAAAAAAAAATCTCGAATTAGTAACAACGACTTTTATTTAATGATTAAAAATGTATCAAAAAATACATGATATGCTTAAAATGTGGGTTGAAGAATCCTGCAATAGTCATTATAATTTAAGTTAACATTTTCAGCACTTTCCCTTTCATATCAATAATTTGTGTACCTATATAAAGGATTTGTCGACTAATTTTTTTTAAGTGGTAGAGATTGTGTTATTGTCGCGTGTACGTTTTGTGATCGGTTTTATTTTTTCGTACGTGATCGGATGGCGACAAGTGTTCAGTATTCTACTGAGCGATAAAACAACTTATCCAAACGTAAACGCCGAATAACAGTGCATGGAATAAACAAACATACCCGAATTATGTATACATATAGTAAATATAGTGTATTGTAATATTATCACGGTTAAAAAATTGCATAATTTATGAGAAAATATCGTAATTTAAATTTGTATGTATGTATTTTATTTTATTGTATATATTTCATCGACACAGTTGGAGAAATATTTCATGAAACAAACAACAAAAATGAAGCTTAGTTTATGGCAGTACATGTACATAAAAAGGTATTGAATAAGAATTTAGAAAATAAATTATAATTTGAGCTGTTGTATCAAATCCATCTACACTTAAATCACATATTAAATGGAATTCCTTGTACATAAATACAATTACATTTTAAGTTATTCATCAACTGATAAATGATATAATTGTAAAATGTTGTTGTTACCTATAATTAAAATCATCATACATATTAGATTACGATATTTTTTCACATAGCATTACTAACCGTAATATTGTATATTATACTAACATTTAATAACTGAAAATAATTAACTAATTATCTAAAAAAAATATCGACCAAATTGAAAAAAAGCAACTAAATAATATAACAAGCTAAATCATTATAACTAATGATAAATAACAAAACCAATCATGCAGTAAGTCAATTCAGTCAATGAAAAATGATGATTTTAAACATTAAATAATCTAAATCATTTTCCAAGAAAATTATTTTTGGAAATGTGTGCTTTTATAGAAAAACAATTAAATATGTGTTACTGTGCTAGTGTCTCTCCTATATTGTGAAGTATAATATTGTGTACGAAAAAAACCTCAAGTTTTATATAAAATAAATGTACAGACTATCGTTTACTATATAATATATACTTATCGAAAACGTTAGACCAACGATTAGATATCGGTAAAAATGCATGTTATAAGTAACAGCCGCTCTGGTCTCATATACAAATATTGCATTTAATACATTTACTAACGGAATAAAAAAGTATGATTCAACATCGAAAAATAAAACAAATACTAAACACATTTAAAAACCAGCAAAATACGTTTACAGCGTGACCCATTTAAATGGCTACATGAATAAGTCAATCCATTTTTGTATTTTAGGACACGATGTTTGTATACAGTTGAAAGTAATTATTTGTACACTACATTCTTATGAAATATACTTCAAACTTTATACAAATTTTGTTTTCGAAAATACAATAATTTAATTAGAGAAGTATTGGCGAGTAGCCATTTAAATATGGATTACTCCGTAAAGAAATATAAAATGTATAATGTATATTATATCATTTATAATTTATAGTGGTAGGTATATACATTTTACTGGTGCGATGAAAAATTCAATAAACCACTCTAACGAATAATTTATTTATATCTTGCGAGCGTGACCCGTGCATAATAATAATGTTTTGGATTAATGTGTATAATAATCTTATAAATATTATAAAAATACATGTGTAGAAAATCAATATTATTAGTTTGTACGATGCAATAAGGTGGTAAACTAGTAATGATACATCATTATAATAAACTTTGTTATACCCAGTTATATTAGTTAAGACGCATAGTATTAAACGCAGGTACATGCAAACAGGGACGGAAAACTAACCACGCGCGCTTAGACTACCGTCGGAAAAACGTTCGGAAATTCATATGGTCTCAGTGTTGCACGTCAATTATTCAGAATCCAATTATCCGATGAAAATTCGTGTAATTGACGGATATCAGTTTCGTTTTATAAAAATTGGCATCAACGGTTTCCGGGTGTTGCGCGTGTTAAAATTACGCTTACGTCTATATTTTGTTGTACAACTCGGCGTTTAACGGCACTAAGTGACATATATTTTTTTATTTCAACCAAATTAATTTTTCACTGTTCCTCACAATTGTTATAGAAATTAATTTATCTTTGAAATGCCATGGTTTTATGACTTTGGGCCCGTGATTAATAAGAATAGACACGTAGGTGTGACCATGCATTTTTTGGGGTAATCTACAGCATCATTTAAGAGGGGGGGGGTTAAAAGTTCGCCCATATTAAGGTTATGCATACTTAATAGTATGAACGCTAGTATGTAGACATACAGGATAATTATTGATTAAAATTAAAGCTTTTTTTTTTTTTTAGTATAAAATGTATATAAAAAAAATATGTTGTGAACTTTTATGATATGAATTGTATCTAGAATTAATAATTTATTTGTATAATGATATTTGTAAAAAAATCAAACATTTGAAGTAGGTATGAAGTGTGAACTGTGCAGGGTGTACACTCAGTGTGAACACCCATTAAAACAAGGTTCATACTAACTATCAAAGTAAAACGTAAAATGTAAAAAAAAATGATATGATTCGTTTTGGTAGAAAAAAATGCACCCGTAACACATTTGATTAATTACGGTTATTAGTGTTGACACTGTCTTTGAAACAAAACAAACAGTTATTATGTATCTTGCATCTGCGATCTAGTGCAGTTGTGTGTTCAACGCAATACTCGGTCGACGAGAGACCATAATATATCAAACTGAATTTGTAATGATATTATATTGTTCAAATTATATTCTCTTACACAATCTTGCTACGTCTGAGAGTTGGTTAAGTTATAGAAAGGACAAGTTCATAATGCCCTTGCGATCCTATAGAATATACACATTATATTATTCCTTTTAACATTAATTAACATTTTTGTTGCTCGCCTATATTAAATTTGATTAATTTATCGAAGATTTCTCTGAAATCTTCTGTCGACAGTTTGCGTACACCAACGACTTTATCGAGCAGTATGCTTAAATCAAATAATAGATAAGTATCTATGTTCTAGAACTACATTTTAATATAATATGCGCAATACAATTTTATAAACAAAACGAAATTGGAAAATACCTCATTGAACACGTATACAGATTACAAAAGTTTAATATAGGTATATATCTAAACGATTAATTTTTATGGAATGCTGAAAACAGAAATTATGTTTTTGTAAAACTTTTGGTTTAAAAAAATAAAGTATACATAACTTAGGTATGAGATTTAAATGGGCTCTATTTGTGGTACTCAGTATTATTATTTTATTTTCGTTCATATGGCTATTAGCATTATTTTCGTATAATTTATGAAGAATGTAAAATTGTTCATATCAAACACAAATATTGAAATATAATGAAATGATATATAATAGTGTTGCTATTCATTATAATTCGTACTTTCTTGAAATAAATTTAATGTAAAGTTTAAACCAGATATCGAAAAGTCAATATGAAAGTGGAATGTGATTTTTTGTCTCTAAAGTTGAAGTTATTGTAATAAAGAGGGATTAATGAGGTGTTCATATAAATCGTGAACCTGCGACGAAATGGTATAGATTTTGTAACAGATCTGAGAAAACGCATCAAATGGATATTACCCCTATAGTCTTACTGTATTTTCCTATTCAGAGTATTAGTTTTGAACTTAGTACTTAGTCCTTATAAAAGACCAATTAATAAGCATGCTCATCCATATCTTACAATTTCCATCAACAATAAATTCATTTGAATTCTGATTTTTGGAATAATTATTAAGCATACTTAAAAATTAAAATTTGAATTATTTTGTACCGTTTAAATATTGTCTCATGACAATACTAACTTCTTTTTTTTCAAATGAAACCAACCTTTTTTTCATTAAAAATTGTTAGGCACATGATTTTTTTTCGAAAGTTAATTTATATCATGTCTAAATAAAAATGTGAAGGAGTAGTTTTTGATTTATTAAAATGTATATTACTACATTCTGTGGATAATATTATTAATATCCTTTATAAATAGATTTGTAAAATTTTTTTTAAAAAATGTAATATTGCATCTAGTGTTAATAATACTTTTATACTCATTTTTTACAAATCATAAATCATGAAATTAATATAATAATTTAATAAAATCATTATAGCCCCTATATCTTCAAAGTATACTATCGTGCATCTATTATCTTTAATGTACAAAGAAAAATTACTCGAAATCTATCTGTTTGAATTTCGGCTTCGATATATTCATATTTTGAAAAATATCACCTTTTGAACAATTAACATTAAAAAACGTTGACTCTTATTTAGGACAAAAAAAGTTTGTGTAGCTACAAGTCATTCCTTAATGTAATAAACATCTAATCAGGTAATTGAAAATCTGGTATTATAGGTACTTGAAAAATCAAAACATCAGAATTTAAATAAATAGAGAAATAAATAATTAAAACAGGTAAGCTTTCTTAGTACATAACTCAGTAGGTATTTAACATTTTTTTAAAAAATTATTATTTTTAATTAATGACGAGTTATCACTACATTTTATTTTCTTGTGCATTTTAAACATTTATTCTCTACCACGCTACGTTCATTTTTAATTAAACGTTTTAAATAATACACTTAACACTTTAAGAAATCTAGTTAGCGAGAGAAATAAATAAATTAAAAAAATTAACTAGTCGTTGAAAAATATTTTTGTTCGGTTTAAAAAAAAAAAAAGTATATTGTATGTATAATGACAAACACTCATTTATTTTTTCGGATTATAGATAATTGTATTTATGGATTGCATGACAATTGTAAATGTCCACTTTTTATCATTATCTATAGTTAATTTTTATTGCTATAATTATAATCACTACGAACGAGCAGTGGATTAAGATGATAATGTTAAACGAGAGGATAAAAACATTTAAATGGAATAATAATAAAAAATATATTACATACAACTCATACTAAATAACGAGAATTCGCATCGTTACGTTTTTAATTTGAATTTTTTTTTTGTGATAATTAAAAACATATAGATAAATACTTTTTGAATGTGCACTCGCTTCGACCATAGCTGTTTACACAATTTTTTTTTTCTATTCGAAATTTTTTCATTATTTCTCTGCTCGATACAGTTAACAGCAAAACGGCTACGTTAGTGGAATATATTATTATTTTCAGTTAGGGCCTCGCGTATTATTATAATGAAAGTATTTGCGTGGAAAAAAACAAATTAAACGCTGCCGGAGAGAGGTCGTTGATATATTATCATGTGACACGCGCAACGTTGTACTGTTGTACCAATATACTTTATGTATATATATATACATACACAAAGATATTATTATAATTGTATCGTTACTATAAGATGTAATATTATTATATCATGATCAGTTTCCGCCCTTGTACTTTGTGAAAAAATAAATCAATATAAACAGTAAAATTCAAAACAGTATCGTCCACCGTCTGGAAACGTTAACGTCTAGATGAAAATATAAACAAAATATACAATCAACAAAAAAAAAAAAAAAAAAAATGGAGATGTGAATGATGATCGGGACCTGTAATGACGAAGCCTCGGATACGCCATAATTCATTTTCTATTGGCGATTCGTGACTGTGGCAGCGTCCTACTCTACAGATTTATTTCACCATCACAACTGTAACACACACACATCGTGCATTTTGCTAATTTTCAGATTTTTTTTTTTGATGCTATGGGTATGATTAAAAACATGGCAAAAAGTAGGTAATACAAAAAAGAAAAAAAAACGTAAACAAATGAAATAAATATCAGCTTTTTAATAAATACGTTGTGACAAATATTCAATTTTACCAACAATGCTACGTTCACAGTTACAATTTAGGTACCCAGTTATGTTGTATCCAGTTGTAAGGTATATTTTATTCGAACCTGGAATTATAATAGATTAAATATTGCTACAAATGTATTATAGTATTATCATAATACATATAATATCTTGTGCAGGAAAAAATTACAAATAATATAATATTTAACTATAATACAAGGTTTATGAAATATAATTTCAAATTGCGACGTATTGGGAGTTGGGCAGAATTCGCATGATATGTTCAATATTCGATTATATTATTTCGGAATACAAAGTGTGTACTAAAATTTAAATTTAACTTTATATAATTTAAACTATAAAATAGTGAGATAATAAGTAGAAATAAATTGTTTGCACAACTCAGTTTTACATTTTCACTTACAGTGACCAACCAATTGCCATATCTAATTTTCGTTCGGTATGATAAACATATAGGTAGTAAATATTTATATCTTATACTAGATTCTGTATTCCTAAGTTCCTAACTATTATGCCTTTTTCTTTATTTGTCATTAATTTATTTATTAGGTTTCATTGTCAATAGAAAATATCATGTGATTTGAACAGTATAATATCATGTCAACCTATGGTCTATAGTAGGTAATGAAAAACACACAGTATCTGACCCTTGAAAAAACAACTATAATGAAATGAAAACACAGCGAAAAAACTGATCAAGTTAGTCGTTTTAAAGCACGAAAACAAATAACAACGATTGCATTACATTCATTAAACATTTATGTTTAAAGTAAAAGCAAACATGTATTTATTACACAGTGGATTATATTAAATACAAAATACATCTAAAGTGTTTTAGTTCATATATATTTTAAGTAATGATGTCATTATAGGGTTCTCAAGTTTCGAATAAAACACATAATACTAGTTCAATAAAAATATTTTAATAATGAACATATTATAGACATGTGAAGTAACATTATATTCTAATGGTTATTTTTCTCTGTTCCCCTGACTTGTTTATCTTTATGATTCGTCTTCCCTATTATAAAACCAGATTTCACGGAATCGACTTTGGAATCTTGGAAAAATAATATTATAATATTAAAAATATTCAAAGGTCTAAATTAAACAACTGACATCAGTCGACAGAATATAATATAATAATAAATAATTCAATTACTCCTTACTATGAGACCGGCTAGTCACAGACCACAATAATGGACCACAACTCGCGATTTGTGAATTTGTGATACCTAGTTAATTTCGAAATAGGAATAAAACCTACGGAGTTTCCACAAAATCCTTCAAAACGTTCATCCTCGAACTCAGATACTATGGTAATAGCGAGTGGTATCTGCGGGCGACGTTCGGTAGCTACGCCTCGGCGGTCGTCCGACAGATCGCGCACGGCGTCACAATAATGTTGTACTCGTACGTACCGGATTTCCGGTGGAGCCTGCAGCTTATCCGGACCGCCCGTTTTCCAGTAGGTACTATTTACGAAATTACCGATGAGGGTGGAAATACTCTGTCGTCCGCCGACTCACATATACCATCGAAGGCCGAGCACGTTTTTCCGACGATTATTATATCGTTGGCGCTAATGACCAGGACACCGAATCGGGGGGAAGGGGGGGGGGGCGAGAGTGCGGCGAATGAACGACAACAATGAATGCGGCGTATTGTTTTCTTTCCTCCTCTCCTCCCCTCCGCCCGCATCGCCGCTATCCGGTCGTCCTCGGAGGTTTTAGGTAATGGCAAACCTTCGTTATTTTTGATATCAGCGTCTTTCTGCTCCCCCGCAATTATATAACTATTATTATTATTACCACGCACTCGCGGTTGGCCGGCGGGGGACACCTCGTTTTCATCTCCTTGTCCAGAGCACAGTATTATAACGACCTGCCACGGAATACGCCCATGTCCAGACTGGAAACAGCGTACTACCCGCATACAATATAATTGGACGCTGCTCGGCGGATATAAAATAGGTAATAATAATAATAATAATAATAATAACAATAATGGGTACCTACGGTACGACGTGTACGGTGTGCCTAATAATACAACGTCTCGTATGATAACGATACACGCGTATGATAATAATATCGGGAAGTTTGCGTTGTTATATCATTATTATTATTATTATTATTATTATTATTATTATTGTTCGTCGCTGTAGAAGAGTATAGACTTCACAGTCGGCGTGTAACGAGTGCAATGTTTAAATGCATTATAATATATTATATTGACAATTGACATCGTCATTGGCACGCCATCACTCGTCGGTTGTCGCCTAATTATAAGATTATATTATCACTGTTATACGACTTCCTCACTCGAAGCTGAGCGCGCAACGTGCAGACATGACACGTGACGAGCGGCGACGCGAAACCGTTTTTGATTCGTCGTTTTTACAAGCCAATCGTCGAACCGTTATTGGCTGTCTGCGATACCTAGTCTCACGACAATATTAATACATTTGCGACTCTAAAATACCATATCATACTCGGTGGTGTCGTTTGAGAAAAGGTGTGCAATATGGTTTGCAGCATATTTCGTTCACACATCCAATCACTCAGGTATAATTATTCTTGTGGTCGAAGTCCAAGGTCGGTTATTGGTGTGATTGGCTCGGTTGCTATCAGGCCATCGGTATACATTCATTTTTTTTTTTTTTAAAAGATTAAATTATTTTTTTATTATGACGTGTATACTCCAATATACATAGGAATTGTTGTATTTTTTTATTTATTAGTACGAGTATAGAATTTAATTCTATATAATCTATACCGGTTGCTATGTTATATTATTTGCTTTTATATAATATATTATTATAGGTAAAGTGCTTAATATAAAAATCAATGCATACGTATAACAGTTATTCCCTTTAAAATTAGTATACCCTCTTAAATGAAATATAAAAATCTACCCTCCGATTTTTAAAGGAGAGATTACGATTTTGCATCATTTTTAAATAAGCCATAAAGAGGTATAGGAATATATGGTATAACATATTATTGCCCGAGCGTGTGGTCACCAAATATTTAAAACAATATTCCGAACATTTAAATATCGTTGGTGTGGTATAACTTTTTGTTTCCCTGACTATAAGTCGATAAAAATTACCCCGAGTAAAATATAAATCTGATCGTTATTAATAAACGATGTTGTAGCTAACGGAATACATATTTTTATAAAACCGATTTCGGAATTAATTGAGTTTCTTTGACCGTTTCGGTGAGGTTTTTTATATTATTATTTTGAATCGTTAAAATGAAATGCGTTTGTAATTTCTATCATTATTACATGATTGGTTCAAAAATATACCCGATTGTGATTATTAATAAATTAATGTATGTATATATATTATTTTTTTCTGCTTCGAGAGTATAATATAATATAGTTAGCATGACAATATTGGGTGTCTGAAAAAATATATTCATAGAACAATTTTCAAAATATATTGTCAAAAAATGTGGATTTGTACGTAACATATATATTTTTTAATCGATAGCGAAACTGTTTGTAATTATTATAACAGATGTGCTAACTGCTATGTGATGAATATTTACTGTTTGTTTCAACATTTTTACAATCATCGACCTTATATTTTATTCTAATGAGTTGAATAAGTTTTGTTATAGACATTTATTTCTTCAATCCACTTTAACATAATTACCTTTAAAATTATATTCTTACATTGTGTTTAGAATGAGAACTTTTTTATTTTATCATAAACTGTAATTTGAATTAAATGCAAACTAACATTTTTTGTTATTACGAAAATAATTTATATTTTAATCTCAACATGGATTACGTTTACTTTATTTTAGGGATGTAATAATGTTCAATGTTTGAATATAATATAAATACAAATACATTTTATACAAGGTATTTTGTAGCGCATTTAGTTCAGTCACATAATTTTTTTATTATTTTTTGTTTGATGTTTGTACCGTAAATAAATAAATACAATTTTCTTTGGTTCGCATTTTATAAAAATAATTATTTCGATCATATAAAATTATCATAATATTATATAATATGATAAAATATGAGTAAGGTTATTAAAATATTTTGATAATATAAACTATACAGGAGTACCCCTAATTTGCCTATACAATGCGCCGTATTATATATGTGAATAAATAAATATTTTAGGTACAACCATTGCATTTTAATTTTTAAATCAATTATGTGAATTAACGTTCATAATCAAACATACAATATATAAGTTTTCTTTTAAAATCAATAACTGTGTGAAAACAGGAAGTCTGCGATTATAATTGCACTTAATCGAACTTCTTGGTTCTTAATAATATAATAATTATTATTGCAGTTAATGACAATGAGTGATAAATGATAATATAATTATGCATTGATATTTTACACAAAGTGCATCAGTCAATCCCATGGATTAGTTTAAAAATTACACTTGTTGAGCTATTTTTAAAATTTAAATTGTAATAATTATGATATTATGATGATTACTTGTCAGTTTAAATAAAAATTATCTTTTTCATTTTTATGGACCATTATTATGTAACTATATTTTATATGAAAATGTTTTATCCCCAGATGTAACAATTTCCAACTTAATAATGAGTAAATCGCTACAATATTAGTTTGAGTATCTGATAAAAGATACTATTTCAAAATTGTTATTTATTTATTTTCTCTAAATGCGCATGTTTCTCAAAAAAGTAACAATATTAAAAATAAATACAATTTATCAAATATAATAGTGATACGCACTCTATATTATATATTATATTTAGTACCTACGTATAGATGGCGAAGAATTATAACATTATGAATATTGTTATTTTTTAATCAAACTAAGG